TGTGTGTGTGTGCGTCAACAGTTGTCTTCTCAAAAACAAACACGCTTCCTGGCCACACTCCATGAAAATGCGCTAGCAATGCCAAAGTCATGGGTTCTATTCTTAGGAAATGCACAGTGAATACAAAAAAATAAAAAAATAAAAAATCATCACTTGCATCAGTGTCTCAGCAATGGATGCTCTGCAGTGAATGGGTGCCGTCAGAATGAGAATCCAAACAGCTGATAAAAACATCACAATAATCCACAAGTAATCCACAGCACTCCAGTCCATCAGTTAACATCTGGAGAAGACAAAAGCTGAAACAAATCCAGCATTAAGACAATTATGCAATGCTACATTTCTCCAAATCTGATGAAGAAACAAACTCATCCACATCTTGGATTACATTTTCATTTTTGGGTGAACTATTCCTTTAAGTCACTTTGGATAAAAGCATCTGCCAAATGCATGAATGTAACTGTGTTCTGAATCTCCATGAACACCACGTCCACTTCCTCTAAATCTGCTCGCATGGCAGTAAAGAGCATTCAGTTTGAACTCTATTATTTCTACACCAGCCACCCAAAGGCCACATTAAACCCACAAGATGAGCTCTGCTTGTGTTAATGGTTGATGCTTAAATCTGGCCTGGAAACCAATTTACAAAGCTTTTGATCTTTAATGTTGTTACATCGTTAAGTGCAGCATGACTATAAAGTGCATTTGAAGCATGCATTTTGAAGTTCATCTGTCAAAAACATTTGTTTACATGCAAGACACCTAAAAGAAGTCAAAGTTACTGCTCTACACACAAGCAAAATACAACAAACTTGCATGAAATCTTAAGCACTGTGAAGCAGTGCATGCACATCTGTCCCGAAACGAAGCCTGAAGCATTCATATTTGTGGTTTACACTGGAATTAGTAGTTATGAACTCAAACGCAAAATCAAAATGATTCCTGTTGGTTTCATGATACAAGATAGCCGTCAACCACCTGTTTTCTTGGATACACACTTGACAGTGGACGAGTGACCTTTAAAACACACTGATAACCCAACCATCTGCTGGGTCACGTCTTTTCAGGGTTCCAGCATCTCAACTCAATAAACATTCGCAATTAACATCAGCACAAAACCACCACCATCACCAAGACGACAAGCATGAAATTAATTATTCAGAGAGTGAGTGTGTTAGTGGAGAGGAACCAATCGAGCCTCCGGCACGCTTCTGCCAAACGTGTTACGTGAAATGCCATTAAGGCCCGTTCACACCAAGGACGATAACTATAAAGATAACGATAAAGATATAGTTCTAAAAAATTTTCTCAATATTAAAGAATAGCAGAGTCCACACCACAGCTATAACGATAAAGGCACAGAGCAACGATATCGTTGGAATCACTTTCAGAACGAGTTTTTTCCAGCTGATGAACGATACAAACATTGATGACAGACGCGCGTGCGCTTAGAATATCACTGGTGTGGACGCTAATATCGTTATCTTTGTACAGTAGTCAACATTTGAAGTGGATAAAAAAAAAAAATCAAAGTTGCCCTAAGACAAGAAAGCATTTTGGGTTTAGGTTTTAGTAGGGTTGGGAATCTAAAATCAATTCCAATTCCAGAATCATATACTTAAGCTCAGGAATCGGATACTGGTATAATTACAATTTAAATTCCACCTATCAATTCCTGTGTGCGCGCTCTTTTTTTTTTTTTTTGGTGGCAAAA